GTGTCAGAATGCCCACCACAGTCCCACTATAAGTGTGTGTTTTGCTAATTGCTGCCAATACTAGCATTAAAAAAAAATTCCAGTATATACCGCCATTTGTAGATGCTATAACTTTCACATAAACCAATTAATTTACACATATTGGGATTTTATTTGGATTTTTTTTTTCAGATGTAGCAGAATACATTTTGGTCTAAATTTATGACAGAATTACCGTATTTTTCGCCGTATAAGACGCACCTGACCATAAGACGCACCTAGGTTTTAGAGGCAGAAAACAGGAAAAAAAAAATTCTGAACTAATGGACTGCAGACACAGTACAGGAGATGACCAGAGACTGCGGACAGCACAGGGATGACCAGAGACTGCGGACAGCACAGGGATGACCAGAGACTGCGGACAGCACAGGGATGACCAGAGACTGCGGACAGTACAGATGACTGCTGACCTTTGGGGAGGTGGGGAGCGGGTACCTGAATTTGACAGGTACCCGCTCTTACTTCCGCAGAGTTTTTGTTTGATCTTACCTGTTCCTCGATCCAGCCGCGCGCTGTCTTCCCGGCTTCTGTAATGGTGCTCGGCATGACAGCCGGGTGCCCAGTGCGCATGAGCGAGAAGCACTTGCGCTTTGTGATTGGTCCGGCGGCTTCTGGGATCTGTCATGTGTCCCAGGTACCACCTTACCATTCACAAAAAGCACCGCTTCTTGCGCATGCGCACTGGGCACCCGGCTGTCATGCCCAGTGCCCACACTACAGAAGCCGGGAAGACAGCACGCCGCTGGATAGAGGAACAGGTAAGGTCCCGCTGCAGAGCTGAGCGGCCGGCCCGGTATTCTGACACGGCCACGGTGGAAATACCGGACCGGCTGCTCCATATTCGCCTTATAAGACGCATTATAAGACGCACTGACATTTCCCCCCCAGTTTTGGGGAAGAAAAAGTGCGTTTTATACGGCGAAAAATACGGTAGTTTTTTTTTACTGGACTGGAGATGTTTAATAGCAAAAAGTCAAAAATATGTTTTTTTTCTCAAAATTGTTGGCATTTTTTTGTTTTATAGTGCAAAAAATAAAAAACGCAGAGGTGATCAAATACCACTGAAAGTTTGTGGGAAAAAAAAGACATAAACTTAATTTGGGTGCAGCGTTGCATGACTGCGCAATTGTCAGTTAAATTAATGCAGCGCCGTATTGCAAAAAATGGCCTGGTCAGGAGAGGGGGTAAATCCTCTGGAGGGCAAGTGGTTAGTTAACAAGGCTCCTTCTACAGTAAACGAGTCTCTCCTTTCAAGTCCCACTCCATAGCTCTACCCAGCTGGGCATGCTCCTTGCAGTTGCTCTCCTGGTTTCTGACTTTCCCATAAGGAATTAAGCCTCCAGCTCATGATTTTCCTTTAGTTGTTTCAGAGACAGGACTACTACAGCTGCTCCAACTGAATTCTTTACACTTCTCCTGGGACTTCTGCCCTGAGCAGGATCTTGGCTGTGCTGACTACATCTGCATATAGGTGTTGGGTATTTGGCTCCCATGCCCCATCTGTACTAAGGCTGCTCTCCAGCTGGATTAGATATGGGGACCTGACTCACACATGACATCACTGCAGGAGGGACTTCTCCAAAAGGGGAGCTATCACTTGCTTGTAACCTTTCCTTTTACCATACTATTTTAGGGCAGAACTACCTAGTGGCAGACTAGACAACTGCACTACACCAACCTAGGACTAGCCTTGCAGCAATGAGCACATGGAAGGGCACGGCATGTCAAAAAACAAACATAAATTCCCAGCTCACTTACCAGCCAGCCTGCAACAAAACCAAACTGACCCTGTCTAACAGTTCTCATTAAAAATAAGGGGTTTACTTTTCACACATTTGCAAATATACCCACATGGAAGAAAAATATCTTTGAAATATATTTTATGTACCCAAAGAACCCCCAGTGGGACTTTCATGCAGCAATAGGATCATACCTATATTGAAAAAGACATTTGGTTAAAAAAGATTTTTATCAACTTTATTACACACACATTTCCATTGTAATGTTAAATACATGATTTCTAAAAAGAATATTGCTCTGACAGTATTCTTACAAGAATATGAAACCACACAGAAAAGAAAGAAAAAAAACCCTGTCGTGTTTTGATCATTCTATATTCTAGATCTTCCTCAGGGGGCATGATAAACAAAGGACTTTCTAGTAAATATATAAACAATCATAAATGAATATACCAAATATAAACAGATAACCCAAAAAATGTTTTCACATAACCAAAGATTTTTTTACTTACAAAAAGCATATGTCTTACTGTAGAGAGTACAGTAAGTACACAATACAGACAGTAGAGGGCAGCAGATCAGAAAAATCCAATATTAAGATAGTATTTAAAAAAACACTTACCAATTAACTCTTCTACCAGGGTACATCTATCAACAGCAGATTGGTTGGCCCTTTATCCAGTGCTGTTCATAAAAGGCACTGGATATATAGCCTTCAGATGGCTGATCTGCCTGGGGGTCACTGTGATCCCAGTTGACATTCATTAGACAGATGGGAACACAGGCATTTGACCCAGCCAATTCAAGGAACTGAGTACCATGTGATCAGATTTCTTTGATTGGGCATCACAGCAATCACATGGTATAGTTTACAGTGCTGAGTCCTCCCCTTACAACAGGGAAAGGAGAAATATCGTAGTAATTGTGAATGGGGATAGAATTAAAGTGTTACTAAACCCAGGACCCTGCATTCACTATATCTGGTCTCCAACAGTACACAGAACATGGAAATGCAATTATTTTAGTAAATATAAACTGATAAATACATTTTCTTATCAGCAGTATATAGCAGTTTTGGGACTTCTACCAGTGCATTGGTTAAAGCTTGTAGGAGGAGTTTTCATTCTGCTCTGGCTGTCCTGTGAGGCTGCATGACTTCTGACCCTCTGTCTGGACAGTACTGAAGTCCTGATTGGCCTTGTGCTGATTACATGCAGTCTCCCTAAAAAGAAAACAGAAAAATAAATCTAGCAATACACACCAAACTGAGCATGTGCAGACTTGTCACTGCCGCTTAACTATGGCAGATGGATTAGGGACAGTAAAAGAAGGGGAAGATCAGAAAATCAGGATCAAGCATCCCTTTTACAAAATGTGGAGGAGGATAACCCCTTAGTTTCCACAGTGAGTATAACAAGCATGTTTTACTGCATATACAGACTGATTTTACTGTTGTGGGTTTAGTAACACTTTAATGGATCAGCAGCTGCAGATTCCTTCATTCTGTGGCAGTGACACTGGAGTCATTTTTATTAACCCTTTCCTGCCCTCTCCTTCACATACTATCTTCAATATCATCCCTAGTGACCTGTGCATTAACCCATCACCTCCCTTATCCTGCCCATCTGAACATTAACCCCTTCATCTCCATCCAGACACTGAATGTGACAAGTATGTTAACCCCTTTACTACATCCTTCCTGTGTGCATGACCTAAACATTAATGTACCTATAGTGCACCATTCTCACGCTCCATCTTTAACCCCCTCAGTACCCGCATGTGTCTTCATTTCCAAAAAAATTACATCGTCTTGGGGTGTTTGCTTTCATATCAGGGTTTTCGTACTTTTCTGACATTTTTTATTTTAGCAGGAATTAAAAGGTTTTTTTCAAAATTTTGGTCATTTTTCCTTTTTGTAAAACAAGAAACAAAACAATATTATTATGCAATGCTTTATATGTATTTTTGAAATTCACATCAGTCCCTAACCATCAAGGGGCATATAATCTAAGGTCTCTAAACTTACATTCATACATACACATATTAGGGACATTTTAGACAGGAACCTATTAACCTTCCAGCATGTCTTTGGAGTGTGGGAGGAAACCCTTGCAGGCTCAGGGAGAACATGCAAACTCCAGGCAGGAGGTGCCATGGTTGGGATTTGAACTGACAACCCTTGTACTGCCAGCTGGAAGTGCTAACCATTTAGCCACTGTGCAGCACAAAACAAACCACAAGAAAAAGTGGTTATTATAGCAGAACTGCACCCCAAAAGAGAAGTCCTGCTTCTCTGTGGGCAGCACAGTGGCTAATTGGTTAGCACTTCCGCCTGGGTTGTTGGTTTGAAACCCAACCACGGCACCACCTGCCTGGAGTTTGCATGTTCTCCCTGTGCCTGCGTGGGTTTCCTCCAGGTACTCCGGTTTCCTCCCACACTCCAAAGACATGCTGGTAGATTAATTGGCTCCTGTCTAAATTGTCCCTAGTACGTGTATGTATGAATGTAAGTTAGGGATCTTAGATTGTACGCCTCTTCAGGGTTAGGGACTTATGTCAATGTACAAAATATACAGTATATGTAAAGCGCAGCCCTGCGTTGGTTTCCTCTGGATACTCCAGTTTCCTCCCACACTCCAAAGACATGCTGGTAGGTGAATTGGCTCCTGTCTAAATTGGCCCTAGTATGTGTGTGTATGAATGTGAGTTAGGGACCTTAGATTGTACACCCCTTGAGGGTTAGGGACTGATGTGAATGTACAATATATACAGTATATGTAAAGTGCAGTGTAAATTGACGGTGCTATATAAGTACCTGTAATAAATACATTTTCTGTCAATCCCCTCCTTCAACTTTTGGACACTTTTGTGAGGGGGAAGGGGGGATGTCACACGGCTGAATAGCAGTGACAAGGTGAATCAGCCTATGGTGTGCACTCTGACATCTTTAGGAAAGGGTGGCTCTGCATTCCTTATTGATTAGTCAGAGCAATCCAAAGTTTCCATAGGTACAGCGCCCCTAGCGGCACACATACACATTGCAGGGGTTTTGCCTAGTTTGGGCGGAAGGAGCGACGTCTGAAGTTTTGGGCGGGGCTCGGGATGGCTGAGCGTGTGATGCTGGGGGAGGGGCCTTGGATGGCTCAGCGTGTGATGCTAGGGGAGGGGCCCGGTCAGGCTTCGCTGTGTTTTGACGTGAGATGGAAAGTGTCGGGTGGAGACATGGAGATCGGCGGCCTGCACCGGGAGCGATGCGAGGGGTGAGTGACAACACGGGGACAGGTCCGGTCAATGGATCTGCTGAGCTGTAGTCCACAGACAGAGCTGGAGTGCTGGTCATGTGTCCCATCCCCCATCGGACACTGAGGAGGAATGTGAGCCGGGCTAGGTGGATGGATGGGGAGGGCGGCCTGCTATTTGCCCTTCATGTGTTTAGCAGAGTCTGGTGACCCTGACTCATGGGCCCCTTCTATAATGATCAGGTGCAGACAGCTGGGGGTGTGGTTGGCCTTAGCAACCAATGGGGTGCCTGGTGATTCCCTGTGTTTCCAGAGCAGCACATGTCATCTCCTCTGCAAAATGGCCCAGGAGATGTGAGATCACACAACATTGCTGGCAATGACATGCGATCCTTCATCAAGTCCTTTAATGGCATCCAATAGAAGGTGCACCTTGCTGTAGTGAGGAGTGTGATCTGTACAGGGGTGGGAAGATGATGGCCCCCTCCAGCTGTTACACAGACCCAGGCCCTGCATGGTGTCATAACTCATCACCAGGTGCCACTGGGCACATTGCATGTTGGAGATTGGGTAGGCTTGGCTTGTGCTGGTTAAATGGTTAATGGCAAAGGTCATAAGTGACAGTACCCACCAGGGTGTCACTACCTGCCCCGATCTGCTATAACTGCCGGGAAGGTTTATAAAAGCTGGAAAGTGGAAAATCTGGTTCATCTCTGCATAGAAACCAATCAGCTTCCAGGATTTATTGTTAAAGCTTCATTGAGCAGGTTGGAGTTAGAAGCTGATTGGCTACTTTGCACAGCTGCACCAGATTCTGAGTGCTCCAGTTTTAGTAAATCTCCCCCAGCTATGACCACCCACCATAACCCGTTGAGGCATGGACTCCACTAGACCTCTGATGATATGCTGTAGTATCTGGCACCAAGCCGTCACTAGCAGATCTAGATCCTGTGAGGTGGAAACGCCATGGTTCAGGCTTTCCAGCACATTTCATGGATGCTCTATTGGATTAAGATCTGGAGATTTTGGAGACCAAGTCAACATCCCCAACTCATTGTGTTCCTCAAACCATGCTTGATTCATCAGACCAGGCCACCTTCTTCCATTGCACTGTGGTCCAGTTCTGCACATTGTAGACACTTTTGGCTTTGGACACAGGTCACCATGGACACCCTCATTGTTCTGTGGCTACACTGCACCATGTACAGCAAATTGCAATGCACTGTGTTCTGACACCTCTCTATCAGAACCAGCATTAAGGTTGTTGTAAAGGCTCAAGGGTTTTTACCTTCACGTATTCTGTGCATGAAGGTGAAAAAACTTCTGTGTGCAGCAGCCCCCCCTGCCCCCCGGTACTTACCTGGGCCTCATCACAATACAGATATTTTTTTCAAGATCCTCAGTTCTCCAGGGACTCTCTATTCTTATTAGCTGAGACAGCAGTGGGAGCCGTGGGCAATCAGAGACAGCAAGCCAATGAGGAGGGGGTGGGGCTGAGGCACAGTTCTGTCTGTGAATGGACACAGAGCAGCAGCTCAGGAGTGAGCCTGCTTGGGTGTCCCCATAGCAAGCTTCTTGCTTTGGGGGCACTTGGCAGGAGGGAGGAGCCAAGAGCACTGGTGAGGGGACCTGAGAAGAGGAGGATCCAGGCTGCTCTGTGCAAAGCCACTGCACACAGCAGGTAGGTATAGAAATGTTTTTCTTTTTAATTGCCTTTAATATCACTAACTTGTTCAGCAATTTGAACTACAGTAGCTCTTCTATTAGATCAGACTACACAGGCCAGCCTTCGCTTTCCACTTGCATCAATAAGCAATGGCTGCCCACAAATCTGTCGGTGGTTCACTGGTTTTCCTTCATTGGACCACGTTTGGGAGGTCCTGACTACTGCAGTCCCCGAACATTCCACAAGAGCTGCCATTCTGGAGATGCTCTGACTCAGTCACCCAGCCATTACAATTTGGCCCTTGTCAAAGTCACTCAAATCCTCTCACTTTCCCCTTTTTTTTTTTTTTTTTTGCTTTGCTTTCAACACATCAGCTTTAGGGACAATATGTTCACTTGCTGCCTAATATATCCCAGCCATGTACAGGTGCCATTGTACCGAGATAATCAATGTTATGCACAGGGGCCATGATCAGTGTATTTATTTTCTGGACGGATGATATTATTATACAGGATTTATATAGCACCAACAGTTTGCTCAGAGACAATACAGTTCAGTTCAATGCAAGAGGGTTAGGAGGGCCCTGCTCCTTGGAGCTTACAATCTAGGAGGGAGGGATTGGATCCAGCTTTCAGATCAGAGGGTGACACCATCAGCTGATGATGCAGTATAGATTACATTAGCATTGTGAGCGATGCTGTACAGTGTCATCTGATTGGAAGCTCTTTGGATCTGTCACTTACCATGTACAATGCAGTGAGATCTTATTCAGTATATCACATTGTTTACATTTTTTTTTACTTTACAAAGTTACAGTCCATTCAATTTTCTGTACTGCAGTGCAATGCGTTGTTGTGTGATCACTTGCACTGCCAGAAAAATACAGCGTTGTGATGTGACAACCTGCGGTGCTAGTGAACTGCGGCGGCGTTGTGATGTGACAACCTGCGGTGCTAGTGAAATGCGGCGTTGTGATGTGACAACCAGAGGTGCTAGTAAAAAGCAGCGTTGTGATGTGACAACCAGCGGTGCTAGTGAAATTCGGCGTTGTGATGTGACAACCTGCGGTGCTAGTGAAATGCGGCGTTGTGATGTGACATCCAGCGGTGCTAGTAAAAAGCAGCGTTGTGATGTGACAACCAGCGGTGCTAGTGAAATGCAGCGTTGTGATGTGACAACCTGCGGTGCTAGTGAAATGCAGCGTTGTGATGTGACAACCTGCGGTGCTAGTGAAATGCAGCGTTGTGATGTGACAACCTGCGGTGCTAATGTAAAAAGCGTTGTTGTGATGTGACAACCTGCGGTGCTAGTGAAATGCAACGCGTTGTGATGTGATAACCTGCGGTGCTAGTGAAATGCAGCGTTGTGATGTGACAACCTGCAGTGCTAATGAAATGCAGCGTTGTGATGTGACAACCTGCGGTGCTAGTGAAATGCAGCGTTGTGATGTGATAACCTGCGGTGCTAGTGAAATGCAACGTTGTGATGTGATAACCTGCGTGCTAGTGAAATGCAGCGTTGTGATGTGACAACTGCGGTGCTAGTGAAATGCAGCGTTGTGATGTGACAAACTGCGGTGCTAGTGAAATGCAACGTTGTGATGTGACAACCTGCGGTGCTATTGAAATGCAGCGTTGTGATGTGACAACCTGCGGTGCTAGTGAAATGCAACGTTGTGATGTGACAACCTGCGGTGCTAGTGAAATGCAACGTTGTGATGTGACAACCTGCGGTGCTAGTGAAATGCAACGTTGTGATGTGACAACCTGCGGTGCTAGTGAAATGCAACGTTGTGATGTGACAACCTGCGGTGCTAGTGAAATGCAGCGTTGTGATGTGAACGGTACACATGAAAAGTAGTTGTTTTCTATGTGTCCTTGCAGTGACTAGCATTGATCAGATGCAGAAGAACACCAGTCACCACACCCCAGTGTGAACAGGCCCTAAACACATGTATGTCATTATGGGGTATGAATGAGACCTTAGACTACTTTCACGCTTGACTATTCTTTAAAGCAATCTGCAGTGGTTTGTTTTTTGAGTGTGATGGTGTTCAGGAAGAGATTCTTCCACCTCTTGAATGCTTGATGTTATTATATTTACACTGGGACTAATGCACTGCAACCAACAGCCAAGTTTTTGGCTAGCAGTTACAGTTCAGCCCGATGACTTGAATGGGTGTGTTTGACAGGTAGTGCAGCTTGTTAGCTCAACATACTGCATTAAATTAAATGCAAAGCATGTGAACAACCCTCCAGGTGGGTGTCTCAAACTCCTGTTTTTACCAGCTCCAGCCACCCATGCGGGAGTAATATTGTTGCATTGCATCCCTATAGTTAGTAGGAGCAGAAATAGTGCTTCCATCATTGGTATCGTTGGGAGAAATAATGTTCCATCATTGGTGTCTTTGGGAGTAATAATGCTCCCATCGTGTGTCATTGAGAGTAATAGTGCTCCCATTGGTGGTGTCATTGAGAGTAATAGCGCTCCCATCGTTGGGTCATTGGGAGGAATAGCGCTCCTTTCATCGTTGGGGTCATTGAAGGAATAGCGCTCCATCGTGGTTTGTCATTGGGAGGAATAGTCCCATCGATTGGGGTCAGGGAGAAATAGCTGCTCCCATCGTTGGGGTCATTGGGAGGATTATAGCGCTCCCATCGTTGGGGTCATTGGGAGGAATAGCAACTCCCATCGTTTTTTGGTCATTGGGAGGAATAGCAGCTCAGCATCGTTGGGGTCATTGGGAGGAATAGCGCTCCCATCGTTTGGGTCATTGGGAGTAGCAGCTTGTTAGGGGTCATTGGGAGGACATAGCGCTGCATCGTTGGGGTCATTGGGATGCAAAGCGCTCCCATCGTTGGGGTGAAATAGCAACATTGGGAGGAATAGCGCTCCCATCGTTGGGGTCATTGGGAGAGGAATAGCGCTCCCTATCGTTGGGGTTTGGGAGAGGAATAGCGCTCCCATCGTTGGGGTCATTGGGAGAGTTGAATAGCATCCCATCGTTGGGGTCATTGGAGAGAGGAATAGCGCTTCCATCATTGGGGTCATCGTGGGAGAGGAATAGCGTTCCCATCGTTGGGTCATTGGGAGAGTAATAGCGCTCCCATCATTGGTGGTCATTGGGAGAGTAATAGCGCTCCCATCGTTGGGGTCATTGGGAGAGGAATAGCGCTCCCATCGTTGGGGTCATTGGGAGAGGAATAGCGCTCCCATCGTTGGGGTCATTGGGAGAGGAATAGCGCTCCCATCGTTGGGGTCATTGGGAGAGGAATAGCGCTCCCATCGTTGGGATTGGAGAGGAATAGCGCTCCCATCGTTGGGGTCATTGGGAGGGAATAGCGCTCCCATCGTTGGGGTCATTGGGAGGAATAGCGCTCCCATCGTTGGGGTCATTGGGAGAGGAATAGCGCTCCCATCGTTGGGGTCATTGGGAGGAATAGCGCTCCCATCGTTGGGGTCATTGGAAGGAATAGCGCTCCCATCGTTGGGGGTCATTGGGAGGAATAGCGCTCCCATTGTTGGGGTCACAAGAGCCAGGTAAAGGCAAGCAAAGGGATGCATCCAGCCCATAGGCCAAAGTTTGCAGACCACTGCCTTACACAATGAAAAGAGAAATCTATTTTGCTGCTGTGACGGATTTCCTTATTTCCCTTTATTCCACTAGTTTTCACAATCACCCTCAGTCTGAGTTCTTCTGTGATATAATCAGTTACTGCTTCAGACTTTTGAAACCTTTTCACTATGTTCTCTTCTGTGATGTTTATCCAGGCAAAATGGTGAGCATGGGCACATTCCGTAATCCTTCTCCACACGATCCAAAATGGCAATAAACCATTCTGGCTTATGTCCAATACACTTTACATTTTGTTTGGGTTCCTCTGTCTGAAACTTGGTGTCAGTACAAAGTCATGCAGCCAAAGGTGACACAAGGTGACATCAGTTTCACAGGTCACTAGTCTGGAGGTTTCCTTTAGAGGAGCAATCTACTCAGCAAACCGAGGGAGTCTCAGGCTATGTTTCCGGAGTGCTTTTTTTGGTGCAGGGTTCTGCTGGGGTGGGCTTTTGTGAGTAAATGTTCTTTATTGTTAGATGTGGAGAGAATCTAAAGGACAGACTGTTATACTGACAAAACAATGCAGAGGTGAGCAAAATGTAAGGAAACTGACCACAGAGGAGTGCAGGACAACGAGCGCTCCAAGCTTCTATCTGCATCCTCGGCCCTGTATCAAACAGGTGTATATTTAGGTGCTATGAATAGTGAGTGTATAAGAAAAAACAAGGAAACAGATTTAACAATTGAAAAGAAAAAAAGGGGAAGAAGTAAAAAAGAAGTTGAAAGATTGAACAATAAACAATGAAAGATAGAAAACGAGTGCAAAAAAAATACATATATATATATATATCTATATATATATCTCTATATATCTATATATATATATATATATCTTACAGACGTTCCATTGCAGTGGAATAACTGCAGTCTGCCCCCACATTGCAAAGATTCCCCTTTACTTCCTGTTTAACCACTCGAAGACCAGGCCTATTCTGACACTTTATAATTACATGTAAAAATCAGAATTTTTTTGTTCCATAGTATTTTCAAAACTTTAAAGCCTAAGTTTAGTAAAAAAAAAAACCACAAGAGACATTACTTACAGTCAGTGTCCTTTTCGCTTCTGGCTGCAGACTTTGTTCAGCTCTTCCGTCCTCCGATCCCAGCCATTGCAGCTGTAATCTTCTGGTGCTGTGGGGGTTAATAGAGCAGAAGAACCTGTCATAGCCACTCATCAAGAGTGCCTGCCTTTTCTGCCAACCTCCTCTATTTATACTACAGCTTCTGTGAATGGAGGGGGGCCTTCATTCATCTGCTCATCTTTCATTCATAGATCATTTTTCATTTATAGAAGCCATACATAATACTGTTTCTATGAACGGAGGGGGTGGGTGGAAAGGGCGAGCATGGTCAGGCACTATTGATGAGTACATATAACAGGTTCCTTGGCTCTTCTAACCCCCCTTTGCAAAGGATCACAGCAGTGGGGTGCTAATTCTGCATCCATCAGCACTAGGGACACATTGCATTGACTATGAGTAATGTCCCTTGTGTGAGATAGATAGAGATATAATTTAAAAACCCTTTTTGACTAAATGCCAGGGTTAACATTTTCCTTTCCTTAAACTTTGTTTATGATGCCAGGTGTACAGAATCATGGGGGTAACCTTGCAAACTGAGCTTTTATTTTCTATTCCATCTTTCACACCAGACAGTGTCTTTTAGAGAGACATCTCCTTTGAAATCTGTTTGTTTTCTGAGACTGCATATAAGGAGATATGGCTCACTGTGGTTCTGAGAACTCTGTTGCTGACCTGTCAAACAAATTGGCAAAGTCAGCAAGATCATGACCTGCCATACCTTCCTGTTTAACTGTGTCCATTTCCTCTGTCCTCACAAAATCTTTCTCTGGAACCCAACAGGGATGAACACTGGAGACTTCTGGATAATCTGAAAACCACGGTGGAAGGGCTGGTCTCTGGAAACAGCCGCAATGTGTGGTCTAAGTATGGAGGTCTGCAGAGGCTTTGTCGAGATATGAGCAGTATTCTACAGCATGGCCTCCTCTGTGATCAGGTAATCTATAACAGACGTACCTCTGTCAGCATTGCTAAGCAATATATAGGTTACCATTTAAACTGGGGCTGTTATCGTTATCACAGGAGTGAAAATAGCTTGGTCATATCCTTTACCTGCACACTACTGCTAACAACTGCTCCTAAATTAGCACTGAAGGCTACAAAATGTTATCATCTTAGCTTTACAGTTCTTACGTCAGTGACAAGATACATCTTTAGAACAGAAACTCAGATTACCTCTAGAATCTGGCACTTCCTTGACCGATAAAGAGAATTTTTATATGCTTTGCGGAATAAAGTTGTGTATACACCAGGGCTGAAAGCGTATGTCAAGGTAAAATAATAAAAAAAAAAAAACCCAGTACATATCCGAATACATGTACATTTCTCCCATATTTTATCACTTTCAGCACACTGCATATACAGAAAATGAAGGGCTTTTGTGTACGGGCATAGTTAATTACTGGTGTTTTTACACAGGATCTTGCTGGCAGAAAGATCCTGTGTGGAAGATGCATATATACGAGTGTAAAATTGTTCTAGTTCCTAGAATGCTCTGTTTGCATGTAAATAGATTTACATATTAACATGTACATGCACATATACAGATGCCTACACACATAGATTACTAACCACAGCCACAAATTTTTCTACTTTTGTTTTACGGATCTCAATGCAGTGTAGTTTTACTGATCTTTATGGACCACGCGTATTGACTCCTAGATAACAATGCACTGCATTCAGATGGTAAAAAGTCCCAAAAATCCTGTACGAGTAATTTCTTGCACCCATGTGCATGGATCCTAACTGTTGTTATGGCAGAAATATAGTATACTCTTGCCCTTGACATGACAACACAGCTGTGAAATTAAAGCGGAGCTCCACTCAAAATGTAAAAACATAAGTCTGCAGCTACAAACACTGTAGCTGCATCTTTTAAAAAAAGCAACTCACCTCTCCCTTGATCCAGAGGTGCCCTCACCGACATCCGGTTTCACCGGCCACACTCTCTTCCCGCACTGGCATCTTCAATGTGGGTACCCGGCTTGACAGCTTGCGGCTTGACAGCTGGGTGCCCATGTGCATGTGCAAGTAGTTCTGCGCCTTGTGAATGGTCCCGTTGTCTGCTAGGATCTGTCGCGTGTCCCAGAAGACTACTGGGAGGGAGGACAGCTTCCGATCGCCTAGGCCAGGGATGTCCAAACTATGGCCCTCCAGCTGTTGAAGTACTACAAGTCCTATCAGCCTCTGCCTCTGGGGTCTTGCCTGTGGATGTCAGAGCTTGCAAGGCCTCGTGGGACTTGCAGTTCCTCAACACCTGGAGGGCCATAGTTTGGACACCCCTGGCCTAGGCAATCGCAGCGGTAGTGGGAGCAGGTTCCCCCCCCCCCCCCTCTCCAAAGGTGCCAATCCTTAATGGGTAGCGGGGGATGAGGTCTTAAAGTGGAACATCTCCTTTTGGGAGGAGCTCTACATTTAATAGGCATGCAGTGTCAGCCCTGCCTACTATTTTATGATGAATTGTAAAGAACACCTTTCCTTATCTTACTGCTCACATCATCTCTATAACTCCTCCTTGTACACAGATAGACAGCACAGTGGTTTCCTGCTTACAAGATTTCAGTCAAAGTCAACAGGTAATTTTTGCACTTACCAAACAGATTTAAGGAAAACATTTAATGGTATGTTTAGAAGATCAAAGGGGAGTGTATAAGAGATGTTTATTGATGGGATTTACATACTCTTTCACATCATTGTAAATGGAGCTGTGTTCAAATAAAAAAACAAAACAAAATAAAACCTTTAGTACATAAATCATTGCTTACACACTGCTTGTATAATTACTTGAAAGGCTTACAGAAGCAGGGAGCACAGCGAGGGCCTGACTATTGGGGCGATTATTTATTCATGGTCAAACAAGCAGGTTGATGGTTGGAAGGTGACCTAGAAAACTGCAGAGCTGCAGAACTTAAAATAGAACTATGGATAGAGTTAAGGGAGGGTTATAACCCCTGTCAGATTTTTTTTTCACCCTCTGTGTCCCATTGCAGAGATTTCCCTTCACTTTCTGTCCCATAGCCAAATAGGAAATGAGAGGAAATCCCCAACCAAATTAACCACTTGCTTCCCAAGCCTATTCTGACATTTCTCTCCTACATGTAAAAATCATAATTTTGTTTTGCTAGAAAATTACTCAGAACACCCAAACATTATATTATATTGATGTAATGGTAATAGAAAAAGCACCAACAATTAAAATAGGAATAGAGCTGCAATCCTAACCAAAAAAAGGTACATGATATAAATAAATAAAGGAATGCGCTAAATGATAAATAAACTCAAAAACAAATAATTTGAAATAATAAATAACAAGAAATGATCAAACATAATGTCTGTAATAATTAAATAAGTCCAACCACCATCACAAGCGATAATTGATTCTAAAATCTTGTATAAATCGAAAAAAAAACGTGCAAAAATCCACCACCGAATGAAATGAATAAACTCACCAGAGCTATATGCTGATCAAATTATAAATCAGCATAATAGCAATTGCTTGGGGAGCGATGATCTGTAGAGGTATCCAAAGTATGGGAGCAATACACTGCGATCAGCCAATCAGCACATATGGAACAGCCTTATCAGCAAGTGGTCATCATGTCTCCATAAACATTGGTAATGCTCGGGGAATCAAGAAAGAATATAATGGTGCAGTACGTTTAAAACAAGTATGCTTTATTAAAACATCGGATATGCACTCACAAGAAAGGTGTCTAGCCGACACCAGCAATGACAGCCTCTAGAAAGCAGGGACGAACCTCGCTCACTGCAATACCACAGCCGACAGTCTCGAGGAGCGTCCTGACATTACATCCACTAAGCCCTGCCCTACATGTTTCGTCATTCGACGTCCTTATGATTTTACAAGATCATTTCTAGTTTCATTTCAAATTATTTGTTTTTGTGTTTATTGTTTAGTGCATTGCTTTAATTATATTATATTCTAGATATTTTTTTTAAGCTGAGGCCCTAGAGAATAAAGTGGTGGGTATTGCAATTTTTTATGCTACACTGTATTTGCGCAGCGATTCAATTTTTTTTGTCGGTCATCTCTGTGAATTCCAGGCCTGGGCTTCACATGCCAGTAAGCAACAGGGAGGGGTACCCTCCCGCGTCCTGTAAAAGTAAACCAGTGGATTACTTGAAAGAGAATCGCCGGCTGAAAAAAATTATATTGGGATCATGGTTGTAGCATCAACCATGATCCCGGTATTACCACTTCCCTACCAGGACGTACATTCACCAGTCACTTTATTAGGTACGTTTCTAGTCCCTGGTTGGACCCCTTTTGCCTTCAGAACTACCTTAATTCTTGGTGGCATAGATTCAGCAAGGTGTTGGAAACATTCTTCAGAGACTTTGGTCCATATTGATATGAGTTACTGTTGCCTTTCTAGCATCTCAAACCAGTCTGCCCATTCTCCTCTGACTTATGACATCAACAAGGCATTTTCATCCACTCAACTGCAACGCTTACTGGATATTTTCTGTTTTTCGGACCATTCTCTGTAAACCATAAAGATGGTTGTGTGTGAAAATCCCAGTAGATCAGCAGTTTTTGAAATACTCAGACCAGCCCGTCTGGCACTAACAACCAGTTGCTGCCATGTTGATTGGCTGATTAGCAATTTGTGTTCAGTAATTGAACAGGTGTACCTAATAAAGTTGCAAGTGAGTTTATATATGTTGTTGCTGGTGGGGAAGCCATACCATGGGGACCCCCAGAAACTAATGTCTCCATTAGAATACTAATACTTTTCTGGGGACAAACCAAAATGTGGGATTTTCTTTAACTTTCATTTTCTATGATAATGGTTAACAAGACAAATAAAGCGGGTGAATCTCCCTAACAGGGGCACAGACAACAATAAAAACTGACGTGTTCTAATCGCTCTCCACTTTATCCAAAAAACTAAAAAAATGTATTTTAGATTTTTTTTTTATTATTCTGCTAATAACACACTTTCTGTCCTAGGGTGACAACAGTAACTCATTTTACTTTATCTATTGAGGTATAGAGTTGTCATCGTACCAAAAGAAGTGTGTTAGAACTACAGAACACATCCACCTTTCCCTATGCCCATAACATGGTTGAATATTGTAGTCCACAGAACTGGACAGAGCTGATGTAGTGTAGTATGACAGAGACCACAAGAAGTTAGGCACATATTGGATTTCTGGCAGGGTCACCAAGTTTTTTTTTTTTTTTTTTTTTTAATTTTGTGCTTGCAGCATTTTTAAATAGTTGAAATGTGGGGAAATGTTCGTGTATTGGAGAGATGTGCTAAATCTTTCTTTTTTGTCAATACATATAGTCAGGTCCATAAATATTGGGACATGGACACAATTCTAACATTTTTGGCTCTATACACCACCACAATGGATTTGACATGAAACAAAAAGATGTGCTTTAACTGCAGACTGTCAGCTTTAATTTGAGGGTATTTACATCCAAATCAGGTGAAAGGTGTAGGAATTACAACAGTTTTTATGGACCTGACTGTACATTTCAAGAGTGACTAGATCCAATGTAAATATTCGTTTCTCCTTACATACGCCTTCATTTGAGCGTGCTGAGCAGGGAAGCACACCATTGAACTTGCCATGTTGGTTGCCCTATTTCTCTGTACTCAGTAGAAAAACATTAGGAAAATGTTCTATATTTTTCAGCTCACCCAGTCTCCCATTCATGGTGGTTGTCATCCAGTGCCAATGCATGGCCATATTGTCATAGAAATTTGTTGGCTGAAACATTCTGAGGTGTAGGTAGTTATAAAAAAGATCAAGAAGCTGATTTTCTGAAAATCTCCCTTTTTCCTTTTATTAGGTCTATAAGCAGCATGACTACTGGGACTTTGTGAAGAGCAGTCAGCGATTGTACCCTGGATCTTTACCGCAGGTGGAGCAGGTACTCTTTGGCATTGTCTCTGGTAGTAGAACATATTTTGCATAAAGTGGTTTTAAGTTGGAGCTAGCTTTAGGGTTTAGGGCAACATTCACATTTGTGTATTTGATGGACAGTATGTAGATGTGGGAAAAACAGTGGTGGGGGTCTCAGCGATAAGCTTTGGGAAGCTATCTGCTCCAGCAACTAATTGCAGGCATTGCGCCCAGTGTGGATCAGTCCCAGGTAATGAGTGGCTACAATCAGCTGTGGAAGTGCTGGCCTGCTTTCAATGGGGCTGCCCTCCACAGCTAATTGCCCGGACCCCGCTGATTTTCTTGCAGCTACATGCTGTGGGGCAATGATGCAGGTGTGAATGTGGCCTACAGTATCTCAGAGTACACCCCTCACATTTTTGTAAATATTTTATTCTGTCTTTTCATGTGACAACACTGAAGAAATGGCACTTTGCTACAATGTAAATTAGTGAGTGTACAGCTTGTATAACAGTGTAAATTTGCTGTCTCCTCAGAATAACACAATACACAGCCATTAATGTCTAAACTGCTGGCAATAAAAGTGAGTACACTCCTAAGTGAAAATGTCCATATTGGGCCCAAAGTGTCAATATTTTGTGTGGCCAGCATTATTTTCCAGCACTGCTTTAACCCTCTTGGGCATGGAGTTCACCGGAGCCTCACAGGTTGCCACTGGAGTCCTCTTCCACTCCTCCATGACGACATCACGGAGCTGGTGGATGTTCGAGACCTTGAGCTCCTCCACCTTCCGTTTTGAGGATACCCCACAGATGCTCAATACGGTTTAGGTCTAGAGACATGCTTGGCCAGTCCATCACCTTTACCCTCAGCTTCTTTAGTAAGGCAGTGGTCATCTTGGAGGTGTGTTTGGGGTCATTATGTTGGAATACTGTCTCCGAAGGGAAGGGATCATGCTCTGCTTCAGTATGTCACAGTACATGTTGGCATTCATGGTTCCCTCAATGAACTGTGGCTCCCCAGTGCCGGCAGCACTTATGCAGCCCCAGACCATGACACTCCCACCACCATGCTTGACTGTAAGCAAGACACACTTGTCTTTGTACTTCTCACCTGGTTGCTGACACACATGCTTGACACCATCTAAACCAAATAAGTTTATCTTGGTCTCATCCGACCACAGGACATGGTTCCAGTAATCCATGGCCTTAGTCTGCTTGTCTTCAGCAAACTGCGGGCTTTCTTGTGCATCATCTTTAGAAGAGGCTTCCTTCTGGGATGACAGCCACGAAGACCAATTTGATGCGGTGTATGGTCTGAGCACTGACAGGCTAACCCCCCACCCCTTCAACCTCTGCAGCAATGCTGGCAGCACTCATAAGTCTATTTCCCAAAGCCAACCTCTGGGTATGATGCTGAGCACGTGCACTTGCACGACCATGGCAAGGTCTGTTCTGAGTGGAATCTGTCTTGTTAAACTGCTGTATGGTCTTGGCCACCGTGCTGAAGCCCAATTTCAGGGTCTTGGCAATGTTCACCTGAGACCTTGTAACACGAACGAGTCACATGACATCAGGGAGGAAAAATGGTTAATTGGGCCCAGGGGCGGACTGATCATTTGGAAACTCGGGCACTGCCCGAGGGCCCGGGGTCAGTAGGGGGCCCCATGAGATGCCCCTGGTACCTTTTTCATAGGCTTTTTTGAGTTTGGGCAAGGACACAGGGGCCCCATGATCCCCTATTGCCCGGGGACCCCATGAGTTGTCAGTCCGCCCCTGATTGGGCCCAATTTGGACATTTTAACTTAGGAGTGTACTCACTTTTGTTGCCAGCGGTTTAGACATTAATGGCTGTGTGAGTTATTTTGAGGTGACAGCAAATTTACACTGTTATACAAGCTGTACACTCACTACGTCACATTGTAGCAAAATGTCATTTCTTCAGTGTTGTCACATGAAGGGATTTAATAAAATATTTACAAAAATGTGATGGGTGTACTCACTTCTGTGAGATATTGTAATACCACTATGCCGTGTTTCATGCATAATTCCTACTTTTGTGAATCTGGACATTTTAAAGCTCCTGCTAAAAGTAACAAAATAAAAGTGAGTTGCTAATTAAATGATACAATAACAAAGCCAGATTTTGCTGCAAAGTTCACCTTCAATCCAGAGATTTCCTCCACAGTACTTTTTTTTCTACCACTAGATGTCTATTGTGTGATGATGGCACCATTCACCACACTTCCTCTAAGCCCAGGTTGTCCTGGACCCACCCACCTCCAATCTGTGACTGGACAGTGATAGAAGAATTGGCACAGTGATGAGCTCATGTTTGTGTCATTCTTCTCATCTCCTATCAGCATGCTTCTTGTTGGACCATGGACTGTCTAGCTTCTTGGGCTGCTGTTTGCTCTTACACTTAAGTCCTGTACAGGGACTGAAAGAGGTTGATATGTCAGGTTCTTGCTTTGCTTGCACTTAAAATATATGTGATCTATTAATGACTACAGAGAACAACAGACGCTTTCGACTCATGCTAAATATAGTTGCGTTCTATATTCTGCTGTAATAGGCAGTATGTCACTCTGAGTTTGACGCCACACCTAAACAGATTGCTGAAATGCTCTTTCTGTGGAGTATGCTCACTCATAAATTGAGTCATTCTGTTTCATAATCTCCTACCATCATCACCTGGGCTGAGCGGCTGATGGTGACTCACATATAGTGACAGATTCTGCTTGCTGCACAGATCGTTGAAAGCTTTGGTGCGTTATTTATTTCCAGGCTATGCGCATAAATCTTCTGTTTCTTACAGCTCTCTAATATTTTTGGATGATTTCGTGGTATATTATTTATTTTCAGAGCACAAGAGGTTAAATATAACAAATGTGTTCATAACACAAGACGGAAACAGTGTTATGCAAATAGGCTTCCTGGTAGGCTTCATATCTGCAGGCATTCGTTTAGTGCGTTCTTTTTGCTTGTGATATCCAGGCTGTATTAGTCAATGATTGTCTAAAAGGTTTTTTTTTTCCCCTGCTGTATGCATTAATTATACAGCATTCTCATTGGGCACAACGAGCTACATTTTGTGACATGCTTTTTTATCCAATTAGGCATGGTTTTAATGCACAGAGGCAAACATAAAGGTGTGTGTATTTGTGCACATTAATGCTGAATTGGAAATATGTGACTTGTTAGGTGACTGATTTAGGACTTTTAAGCCCTGTTTACACTGGTATAAAAAGCAGGCATTCAAGGCATGTTTTTAACACTCCTCAAATACCTAGTAATGCAGTCTGCGATTGATAATATGGACAGTCCAAAGAGCTGTTCACATTTTGAAAACATGTAGTGTTTGCATTTGTGTTGCATTGCTGCGCTTCAAAAATGAAATTGCAAGTTGAGTTTAGAAGGAGTTGAAGCATCTCAACTTCTTCCATTCAGTTGTATGGTAATATGCCCTAAATGCACCGGCATGCGTTTGTGGCACATTAGGTCTTGCTCCCCAAAAAAAAAACAAAAAACATTTGAGGAGCATTTTTAACACGTTACATGGAACAGCACGCGTTAATGCCATAGGCACTGTTGTTCAGTGTACGGATTTTAAACAAGTGTGAACAAGGCATTAGAGGAGATTTTTGTTTTGCCTGTTTTTCTGACGTTTGTGAGCAGAAAGACAACGGGCGCATTCACAGCATAGGTATCTTGTAACGCAATGCATATGTGCATTGTAATTCATTCTTAACTGAACCTCTCTAGTATGGGCCAGGAAACATGAAGTGCTCTGACTGTTGTGTAGCAGTGTCCAGCCATGTAGAGATTTGCTGGTCAGGGTGGTATGAATGATTCAACAGTGGTTAAAGAGTAAGTACTGGTTCACGTCTGTTCTGTGCCATTTTCTTCTTCTTATAAATATATGTATACACTATATTGCCAAAAGTATTGGGACGCCTGCCTTTACATGCACATGAACTTTAATGGCATCCCAGTCTTAGTCCGTAGGGTTCAAAATTTAGTTTGCCCACCAGGGATGTTGGATTACAATTGCTGCCGCCCAGGACATGTAGGTCCGGGTGCTGGGAAAGTAGTTTTTTTTTCGCTACCCTATTAGCCCTCCTGTGGGCAAGCAGCGGGATCACCTGTCAGGTGGAAGCATTCAGGCGGCAGTGCTGCTGCCCGATTTGCTTCCACACAGTACCAGCCTCTCCAAACTCCCCCCCCCCCCCCCCCCCCGGTGAGGTTCCCCGGGCTCTGCTTGCCCATCTGCGGGTCTGGGACCAGCTCGCCATCGGCTGGAGGGGGGGGGAGGAGAGCGGACACGTCCGCTCCCCTCCCCTTCTTGTCCTGACTCGGAAGTGATGTTATGCTATCACTTCTGGGTCCCCATTGAAAGATTGTAATGCAATCCCTGTGTATGAAAGTAATGCGGTGCAATGTGCACTGCATTATATTCAGCGGAGCACAGGGGAGACATGCAGGGTCTTCTAGACGCTGGATGTCTCAAAGTGAACCTGTCACCAAAAAAAGTTTAAAAAAAAAAAAGTTTGTGGGTTTTTTTTTTTTTCTAATAGTAAAAAATGAACGTTACACTCAAGCACATACCAACCCCCCCAAAAATATTGAGGCCCCCCACCCCCATATATATATATATATATATATATATATATACACACGGAAAAATTTAAAAGGACACTCTGGGGCGCCTATGCATGAAACCTTCGATTGCGATATACATGTCACACATCGCCGCGCACACCAGAATGAGAGCAATAATTCTAGCACCTGACCTCCTTCGTAATGCTAAACTGATGACCTATAAGGAGCTTTAAAAGTGTCGGCCTACAGAAAATATAGGGTACTGAAGTTCGTCACCATTTCACGAGCATGCACAAATTTAAGGTTTGACAAGTTGGATATCTATTCACTCGGTGTACTCGGTGCAACCTCATCTTTTATATTTTATAAAATAGCGTAATTTATTGCTTTTTTGTGCACTAAAATTAACTTACTTGTATTTTTTACAAAAATTTTGCAGTAAAATCATCCTGTAGGGTCTGTGCTTTCAGAAAATATATAATGTTAGGGATGAAGGATAAGTCCTGACTCACCCTTTTCTGAGGAGCAGCCAATCGGTGTACATCGCACTGCAAGGTCTCTCTCCTCCCTGCTAGTACCCGGGTGCGGTGTTGGAGACAGGCAGCAGGGGGGAGAGGAGATAAACAGCTCAATGTTAAATATATTACACGTTTAAGCCCCTTTTTTTTTTAAAAGCCCCAGACATTCCTAATATCTCCAATTTTAAATACAGTTTTGGTTAAAAAAAAAAAAAAAAATTTTTATCTGGACAAGTAGATTGGGGCACCAATTTAGTCCCTGGACAAGTAATGTTTTTAAAAAAAATTCCACACCCCTGGGCTCATGCTTGCAGTTATAACAGCTTCAACTCTTCTGGGAAGGCTGTCCCAGTGTCTCTGGGAATGTTTGACCATTCTTCCAGAAGCGCATTTATGAGATCAGACTCTGATGTCTGACGAGAAGGCCTGGCTCGCCAGTTCCACTCTAACTCATCCCAAAGGTGTTCTGTCGGGTTGAGGTCAGGACTCTGTACAGGCCATTTAAGTTCCTCCACCCCAAACTCGCTCATCCATGTCTTTATGGACCTTGCTTTGTACACTGGTGCACAGTCATTTTGTAACAGGAAAGGGCCATCCCCAAACTGATCCCACAAAGTTGGGAGCATGAAATTGTCCAAAATATCCTGGTGACTGCTGACAGAGTTCCCTTCACTGGAACTAAGGGGCCAAGCCCAATGCCAGCCCCTGAAAAACAACCCCACACCATAATCCCCCTTCACCAAACTTTACACTTGGCACCATGCAGTCAGGCAAGTACCGTTCTCCTGACAACAGCCTGTTTCCCTTGCAGTTGAGTAAGGTGCATGGACTATATGGTGGTGGAGTATCTATGATTTCACCAGATTGGTGGCCAGTGGTCTGGTATTAAGGGAGCACTGTGTGGCACATTTTGGAAGTTACAAATATCTCACTATTTGCAATTCAATCTCTTGGAGGGAATGATTGTCTATGAGGAAGAATTTTGAAAGAAGCGTTCATGTCTTGGGAATTAATTTTCAGCCAGCAATCAATCTATACCTAGAGGTTAGTGTAGGAATTACGGATACCACATGTGGAGTGACACTTGGTGGAGTTTTTGTTGGTTATGAGCACTTTAATGTATATTTTCTTTAGGGTTAGAGGAAGAGGAGGTCCTTGTTTACTAATTGAGAATTACAAGCGGAATTAAGAAGCCATGTGGGGTCACTTATTGAGGACTTTGATTGGAAGCCTCTTTGAGGGTTAAAGAGGAAGAGGATTGGAACCCTCTTTGAGGGTTAAAGAGGAAGAGGAGGTCCTTGTTTACTAATTGAGAATATACAAGCTTCGAAGAATTAAGAAGCCATGTGGGGTCACTTATTGAGGACTTTGATTGGAAGCTGAGATATATTCACTTTATTTCAGACTTCCTGGGGAGGAAGGGACTTCTTGACGACCAAGGGGTGTACATTATTTTATAGAGTGGATTCATGGATTTACATTTTGGGGTTTAGTTGGTTTCATTTTATATAACCTTTAAACTCTCCCTTAACCTGACCCTAGAAGTTAACCTTTCACACTTATACGTAACTCTGAAACCTAACAATTCCCTAAAATGTCATTCTAATCCCGACCTTTAACCTCCAGCCCTAATCCTAACTTTTACCTGCAAATACCCAGTTATTCAGTTTAGGGTCCATGTTTGCTTTACTGATAAAAGTTTGTGCATTTCTGTTCCTGTATCGGTCCTGTAACCACCCAGTACCTGTGCTAAAATAAAAAAGGAACTCTGAGATGCTGAAATGTGTGGATACATTGGCGGGGCCTACCCCTAATCTCCTATTGTAATTTTACACAATTTAAATTATGGCACACCACTTTTTAAAAAATAAATGTGTTTGTAAAACAATTATGTTTTTGTGAGTTTTTTGTTTATATTTTTTATTCCATCTCTGTACTGCTCATTTTAGTTCTTGCGCTTCTGTGAGACCAGTCAGAGGAACAGTGACGGCTCCAGTGAGGATAATGGAAAGTTGTGGTTACAGCACAGTCTCCAATTCCACAGCCTCTCAGCTCAGCTCAAGGCCCTGCTTGGGAACAGACAGTACACCCAGAAATTCTATTCAGGTACTGACATCCTACATACATACAGAGATTATACACTATGAAGATGGTTTACTAGAAAATTTGAGAATCCCTACAAAACTTGTATTAAAGGCTAAGTTCACCTTTAGTAACATGTTAACACCTGTAACCTGCAACATGTTACTAATGCAGCAGCCCTGATCCCCCACTATTACAGTGGACAGGAGATAATTCATGATCTATATTAAACACAGTGTAATTAGTATTTGATGTCTTTTAAAGCAACAGACACATGAGTATTCTATCAAGCGGCATTTGTTATACTGATATCTCTTACAAATTGGGTCAATTGATAATCCTATCCTAGTAGAAAAGCAAGAAGGGAAAACCTGTCACTATTATGGTAATCAAACCACAACATATGTTTTGGATCTGTTTTTAAAATTGTCTGTAACAACTATTTTAGCAGGCATTTTGACTTCTTGGTTTTTACCTAAGAGAGAATTATAAATAGCCCTGAGTTGGAGGGACTTTGACAAATGATGGTGCTTGATAGAATATGTGTCTGTTGCTTTAAATGTCATCAAATACTAATTCCACTGTGTGCATGTGTGTTGCCTTACCTGCTGCTCCTCACCTCTATTATTCAGCCCAGCCTTGTGGGCGAAACGCAGCAGAAAGGAGGTCTGTGTGTTGCCTTACCTTCTGCTCCTCACCTCTATTCAGCCCAGCCTTGTGGGTGAAACGCATCAAAAAGGAGGTCTGTTCACGTCCTGATTAAAATCATTACCAGTGTTTGCGTACAGCCAGTCTTTTCCCTTGGGTCAGATTTTCTCTACCATTTCAGCAGTCATTAGAGACTGCTGAAAGTGTATTTTTAAGCCAAGCAGGCCACCATGTACATATATAATTACAACCTTTAGGCAAAACATTAACCTGTTCCTGCCCAGTCAGTAGCAGAATGATGGTGGAGCAGGACTCTCTTCGATCCGGGTGGGCGTCATGATGTCCTTCCTGGATCGCACCTCACGTGCCTGCGGGGCGCCACTGTGGTGGGATCTGTCACCAGCTGTGTACCTCAGACACAGCCGATAACAGATCTGTGTACTGGTCGTTGCCATACCATGTGACCTGCTGTAACCAATCACAGCAGGTCACATGACAATTGTAAACAGTGGAGGGTTTCCTTTCATGCCATCTATTGTATATAATTGTTTCACTAGCTGTGATTGAATGCAGTGATCAGATGTACAGACTAGGCCAATCACAGCCCATCTGTGTCATGTGATTAGCTGTGGCCAATCACAGCTAATCACAACAAAAAGTCCTGAATGAATTGATTTAATTCAGTTAAATGCTTGCCTATAGCAAAGAAATTCTTGCTATAAGCAATCATAATGTGTATATAAAGAAAATATATACTGACCATTTCCCCAGAGTACTACAATGTTACTATGGGAACATTGTACAACTCTGGCCAGTGTATTATGGAAAAAAAAAAAACTGTCCCTGATCACCGCCACACCAAAAAAAAAATTTTTTTTATTCATTTACCAAAAAAAAAGGCAAAAAAAATTACAATTTTAAAAAACTCGCCATGCCTCTTACTAATACCTCGGACTGTCTACTTCGCAAAAAATGGTCATTTGGGAGATATCTGTACTGTCCTGACATTTTGGGGCCTCAATATATTATATTGCCTTTCAGTACTTCAGGATTAATTGATTTTCAGATCTATACCATAGTTTGTGAACCCTATAAACTTTCCCACAGACTAAATAATAAATACTAATTTGAGTTATTTTCACCAAAGAAATGAAGCAGAATGCATCTTGGCCTACATTTATGAAGAAAAAAATGTATTTTCAAAATTTATAGCAGAAACAAAGAAACACATGTTGTTGTTTTTTTTTTCTTTTTTCATTATTTAGCAAAAAATAAAAACCCCAGCTGTGACTAAATAACACAAAAAGAAAGCTCTTGCTTTGTCAACAAAATGATAAAAACTTAGTTTTGGGTAGAGCGTTGCATGACTGAGCAACTGTCATTCAAAGTGTGAGAGAGAACTGAAAGCTGAAAATTGGCCTGGGCAGGAAGAGGGTTACACACATTAAAGCGGAGTTCCAACTGCTGCCACCGCATGTCCATGAATTCAGTGGTGTCCTCACCCCAAGCTGATTGTTCAGTTGGCTGTCGGGTGCTGGTGCTGCCATCTTGACTAAGGGAAACGGGCAGTAAAGCTGGTTTCCTGCTGCGCTTTGTGAATGGGCTGCGGGGGGAGCCGAAATTCCAGCTTCCGACTGGAAAGTTGCGGCGAACTCAGCTGGAAGTGGGAGCAGGTGCCTGTCAAAACCAGGTACATGCTTCCTCCCAAAGGGTGTGAAATGTGGCAGTGGAGGGGGGGGGGGGGGGGAGGAGGAAGAAAAGTGGAGCTTCCACTTTTGGGTGGAACTCAGCTTTAATACTATCATTTACATTGAACTAATCCAATTGGCATGTATTTCTAAAACCATTAAAAAGTCTGTGGTTGCCACCTAAATACAGTAAGAATTGTTTAAATATATATAAAACTATAACAAGAAATTGTTTCATATTTGTACCCTTTTGGTCTGTTAAATATACCAATTAAAGCTTTTTATTATATAGTTTGTTCGACAAGTGCAAATAAAAAAGCTGTTTATCCAGCCAGAAGTCTTGTGAGCTGATAAGTCCCTGCTATCTCTTGGGATTACAAAACGCCTACCTCTGTTATGGAGAAGAGAGGTAGGAGTTATGTAGGCCTAACATACTACCTGTCCTGGGATAACAATGCTGCTCAGTGCAGTTGTCACCCTAAGACAGGAAGTTAATTAATGGCAGGATTAGCAGGTTAAAATAAAAACTTTTGAAAAAAGAAAACTAATGCAGCCACCATATCTAGGGACTGGTAAGCTGGAGTACATTCAGTTTTTGTTTGTGGGGTTAGATACGCTTTTATATCTAATTTCTAAAAGCATTGGACAAATTGAGAATATCATGATGGTACCTTTTAAAAATGGACTCTTATTGCTTCAACGCACTTCCACCGTGTTTTATCTCTATTACCAGATACTGCCTTCCTGTTGAGTGACCGATATGTAACAGCCATGTTCCAGTGCTTGGAGGCAGTGGAGCAGAATAACCCCAGGTTATTGGCCCAAATAGACACATCTGTGGTGAGTTGCTTGAATTGCCTGTCTGGCTATATGTACAGTATTTCAGTTGTGTTGCCTCCTTCCCTGGAGTTTGTATTCACTTATTGCTTTAAGGGCTCTTTCACTCAGGCGGACATGGATCTGTCTGCTCAGCAGGGTTCTGTCCGCTGATCCCCACTGAGCAAGCAGATGATTGCTCTGCTTGTGCAGAGTGGGCACAGACACAGCCTGCTATTCTCTATGGGACGGTCTAATGTAAACCAACCTCCTGTCTGTTTACAGCTGACTATCCTCTGATCTGATCCACCAGATGGATGAGGAACGGATACCCATCTGCCTGTTTTTAGTGGAGCCATTTTTTGTATCGAATGTAGGTGGGTGTAAACAGACACATTTCCATTTACAACCACCTCCGCATAGAGAGCAATGGGTGGTCCGATCAGACGCGATCAGTCCGCCCGTGTGACAGGGCCCATAGACTTATTGGGAAGCAGTAATAATAGGCGGTTGAGCCCCTTTTAAGCTGGCCTGGGGTGTACACATCCCACAATGCTTTGCAGCATGGCAAAAAAATTTTGCCCCCTGTCATGTGCGTTGGGCACTACCAAAGCTGAAAGCCATACCACATCCACAAGCCAATTGCTAGACTCTTGATTGCATATTCCTGTTCAAAAAGCCTACTGTACTGTAAAAAAAAAAAAAAAAAAAAAACGCATTCAGAAATACAGTATTACTCCATGAATGCCTTTCAGCTGTGTGCAAAGTGATCTGCTGCGGATCACTTTACAAAGCGTGCCATAGGTGTGAACGAACCCTAACAGACAGTGAACAGCTTTCTTGTAACATTGATGACACCTATTGAAGTTGCTTGCTAACATATGTAAACATTGTTCGACTTCTATACTATAATTTGTTGTCAGTGTTGTAAATATTCATCAAGCTGTCAGAATTAATGGGTTAGGCATTGTCGTGATTTTACATAATGCTGTACGGTTTTATTGCTACAAAAAGAGTGAGTAGTGACTGGAAATCATAGAAGAGAGGGTCTCGCTCATACAAGTTCACAGCCTGCACGAATGTACATTTTTTTTTTTTTTTTTTTTATATTGCAGTTAACTTTTTTGTATTCTGTTTTTTCCTTTTTTCAGCTTGCTGGCAAGAGAGAGTTCACAGTTTCTGGAAAGAGTTTAAGTCTGAGTGCTCTACCTGTTACACCATTCATCCCCTATACAGGGAGTCCAAACCATTCCATGTATAACAGCCTGCAAGTTCCAGCCACTCTACCCAGCAATGGTATGAAATATGAGGGTGAGGCTTTCACTGTTGTCAATGGACCAGATGACTCGGTTGTGAGGAATGTAGCGGCAAACAGTTACTGTTTTTTGTAGACTTTGCATGTGACCCTTGCCCAACCAACCGCTTTGTTGGAAAGCAAAAAAAATCTAGCACACTAGCAAGGCCAAGCATAGTTTATTACTTAATGGCCTGATTTTAATTTCTGTATATGTAAGTGATCCCTAGCTATTTAAAAAAGCTTACATAGCATGATGCGATTCAATGACCAAGAAACAGCTGATTTGTGAGAGTCAGCATGATGTGATATCTTTGGTTTTTTTATTTGAAGTATTTCATAATTTTTATGTATAATTTTTTTTTTTTTTTTTTTTTAGACTTGTGTTCCAGCTTGGTTGATCAGCAAAATAATGTTTATAAAGTGAGTGTATCTTTGCCTGCAAATGAGTCCAATCCTGCCATCCATGACTTGTCACCTCGTGAACCCTTTTCTCCTGTTAGTGAAATGAGTATTAGTACTTTAACCAGCCAAAGTGAAGAGACTCTTAGCCCTGAGGACCCACCAAGTGAGGCCGATGATGGTCCTGAATACCTGGCTATTGGAAACATGAGCCGCCGGGCTTCAACCCAAAGAGCAACAGCTCAAATCTCTTCACTGGTTCTCAGCCGCCATACACGCCTGTTCAGACGACACCAGTTATCCCCAGCCTGTCTCTGCTGTCTGTCCCACGCCGCTCCAGCTTTTCAGAGGGGCAGATCGGTAACTTGTCAAAGCATGTCAAAAAGAGTCACATGCGCTCACATTCTGACACCAACGTGACTATTGGGAAAAATCAAGGTACGGAAATTCATTTATTAGTTTAGTCTTCAACATAGGATCGTTTTGGTGTGTTTGTGTGCCCTGTTGATACAATGTACTTTTTAATACATTTGCATATTGTAGTTAAAATATAAAATACAGCTCACTTAAAGCTGAACTCTAGATTAAAAAAAAAAAAATACACACATCCACACTGCAAAGGTTAACTGCTTGTTCAATCTAGAGGTAGAGAAGAAAGCTGTAATCCCTTGCTCTGGCAGGCTTTCTTCATCTGGGCAACCAGTCCCCCTGAAGCCTCTCCTCTTCAGTGCTCCTGCTGCTGGTTGCACTGATGTCATCATATACAGTGCAGGACCAGTAGTGCCGCATTGCACTTGAGAATGGCAAGGGCCTGCATACAATCTTGAGCATCGGGAGGAGAAAAAGAGTGCCAGAAGCTAGCTGGAGCAAAGAATACACATTACAGTCTTATTCCTCTAACCCAACACTTAACCAGCAGTTAACTCTTGCAAAAAAAATAAAAATATGCAAACGCAGCTAAACTCTAATGCAAAAATGTGGGAAAACTTGCGTTTTTAACGTGACTTTATACAACTAACACTACAGGTGTTTAAAGTGCCCAGTGTGCATGAGGACTATGTTTTTACACATGCTGGTCTTTTCCTCGCATGTCATCTTATGTTAAGTAGGCACACCCTAAGGTAATACATGATTATAGCTGCTGAGGACAGGAGGTGCTGGAATTGGGGCTCGTTCCCACATTGTGCCGTAACCTGTAATCAGGAACACATGAGGGCAATCGGGTGATTTGTGAAGAAAAATTTTAAAAAATTTACATTTTATTTATTTTATAAATTTACTGATTTTTTATTTTTTTTTTTTGTCTGAAGTCCTTTTTACCCCTGGTTCACATATAAGCGACCTTACGGGCCGTGTTTTGCGTGGGCATGAGAACCCATTCATTTGAATGGACTCCTGTGCCCCCATGACACGCAGGGAAGAAGACCCTGCACTTTTGGAAACGCAGCTCGCACAGGAACCTCCGGTTCCCAGTATGGTTGTGATTTCCAGTGTGGGCGGCATGCCATTAGAACTAATGGCACCCGCCCGTGGGTCCGCATTTCTCTGTGCGGGTGGTAGATTTTCATGCGGATCAGCAGCGGCACCACCCGCACATATGTGAACCTAGCCTTAAAGTCCAACTCTATCCAAAAATACCTTTTTAGCTTTGCATAAAGTAAATAGTGTTAGAATATCTAAATGTAAATGTTGTTTATGTTCCTGTAATGGAAATGTTAACGTCCAGTTTTTGTCTGACACCCATTACCTAGACCAGCAATGGGCAAACTACGGCCCCGGGCCGTATACGGCCCAGCGCGGACCTTTTAATCCGGCCCGCGGAGCGTGATACATTGGCTGTCAGGATGTGTGTAGGCGGGGCAGCGTGACGAACGTGAGGGGAGCTAGGCTCCTCTCACAGTCCGCCCTGAAGACCGGAACGGCGTGGGATACATTGGCTGTCAGGATGAGTGTAGGCGGGGCAGCGTGACGAACGTGAGGGGAGCTAGGCTCCTCTCACAGTCCGCCCTGAAGACCGGAACGGCGTGGGATACGGCTGTCAGGATGAGTGTAGGCAGCGTGACGAACGTGAGAGGACACCGCCCTGAAGACGGAACGCAAACGGTAGAGGAACGCGCGGAAAAAAAAAATTAACACAGGGGGGACTTGGCTTACTACTTGGGGGGGAATAGTACTATGGGGGATGAATTAATATGGGGATGAATTACTATATGGGGGATGAATTACTATATGGGGGGATGAATTACTATATGAATTACTATAGGGGGGATGAATTACTATATGGGGGATGAATTACTATATGGGGGATTAATTACTATGCTTACTATGGGGGAATATTACTATACTTACTATGGATGACACATACACATCATTCATCTACTCTTGGTCTGGCCCCCGGGTCCAATATATGAACCCATTGCAGCCCTCAAGTCAAAAAGTTTGCCCACCCCTGACCTAGACAATGAGTGAACAGGAATATCTCTGATGGGGGGAAGGTAAAATTTTCAGAGATTCTGAAGTCCTAGCCAGCTTGGGAGTCAGTCATATGTCTTATTTGTGTGCAGACACACCTAGCCGATCGGCCAGTCTTTCTTGTTCTGTTGAAGATAAAGCCTGCTATCGGTTTGGAGCATAGACCTGGGATAATAACATGGTTTGTAGCATATCTTTTTGTTTGAGAGTTGGACTATGTACATACTGTACATACAGCAGGCCGTGAGCTTGTTGATCATATGCTTTCAGTGGTCTTTCTTGGGATGTACAGTAGATGAAGCAATTACTGAACAGATAAGATGTGTAAGCCACAAAATGTAATCTGTTGCAGTTTACCAATCCCTAAATGTGATGGCTGCATTAATTTTTCTTTATTGGGCTTTCTTCCTTTATTTTTACCTGGTGATCTGGCCTGTAACATACTTGCTGTCATAGGGTGACCCCACTCTGGAAGGAGGAGCAACAGGGGCACCTTTGGGCATTTGCATTGTCAGTCTGGGGAAAGAGTATTGTTAGATCTAAAACAGACTTAGATAAACTTCACTAACAAATTAAAGCCAAACATCACTTTTTAAGCAGTTACAGTGACAGTTTTTTTACTTGCCAAAAACTGTGTGTGGGGGGAAAAAAGTTTGTTTTATTACCGTAAACTAGCACTTTTTATTTACTTCTATATTTATTATTTATTAAGTTATAATCTGGATAATTTGATTAATTTTTTATTGTATTTTAGCGCTCGGTATTTTTGATTAATAATTTGATTTTTTTATTTTGATACTGTTCACGATTTTATGCGCTGCGGTGCATTACTTATTTTGTACTTTTCATCCTGATGCGCTCACTGATTTTTCACTTTATTAGACTTCATTTCAAAATTTTATTGGTGCATAATGCAAATGGTATGTCCCGTATAGACTTCAATGCAAATCCGTGAGCGCTCACTGCAAAACCGTGTTATAGACTTCAATGCAAAACCGTTCCCGTATAGACTTCATTGCAAAATCGTGTCCCGTATAGACTTCATTGCAAAATCGTGTCCCGTATAGACTTCATTGCAAAATCGTGTCCCGTATAGACTTCATTGCAAAATCGTGTCCCGTATAGACTTCATTGCAAAATCGTGTCCCGTATAGACTTCATTGCAAAATCGTGTCCCGTATAGACTTCATTGCAAAATCGTGTTCCGCATAGACTTCATTGCAAAATCGTGTTCCGTTTAGACTTCATTGCAAAATCGTGTCCCGTATAGACTTCATTGCAAAATCGTGTCCCGTATAGACTTCATTGCAAAATCGTGTTCCGTATAGACTTCATTGCAAAATCGTGTCCCGTATAGACTTCATTGCAAAATCGTGTTCCGTATAGACTTCATTGCAAAATCGTGTCCCGTACAGACTTCATTGCAAAATCGTGTTCCGTTTAGACTTCATTGCAAAATCGTGTTCCGTATAGACTTCATTGCAAAATCGTGTTCCGTATAGACTTCATTGCAAAATCGTGTTCCGTTTAGACTTCATTGCAAAATCGTGTTCCGTATAGACTTCATTGCAAAATCGTGTCCGCGCAAAATCGTGTTCCGTTTAGACTTCATTGCAAAATCGTGTTCCGTATAGACTTCATTGCAAAATCGTGTTCCGTATAGACTTCATTGCAAAATCGTGTTCCCGTATAGACTTCATTGCAAAATCGTGTTCCGTATAGACTTCATTGCAAAATCGTGTTCCGTATAGACTTCATTGCAAAATCGTGTCCCGTATAGACTTCATTGCAAAATCGTGTTCCGTATAGACTTCATTGCAAAATCTGTTCCGCATTGACTTCATTGCAAAATCGTGTTCCGTTGAGACTTCATTGCAAAATCGTGTTCCGTTGAGACTTCATTGCAAAATCGTGTGTCCCGTTGCAAAATCGTTGCAGACTTCATTGCAAAATCGTGTTCCGTTGAGACTTCATTGCAAAAAATAGACTTCATTGCAAAATCGTGTTCCGTTGAGACTTCATTGCAAAATCGTGTTCCTTTGAGACTTCATTGCAAAATCGTGTCCCGCATAGACTTTGCAAAATTCAATAATCAATATCTCATCCCATAGATTCCAATGCAAAATCTCAACCCCTAGGTGTCAATGTAAAATCACATCCCCTAGACGTTGATGCAAAGATGCCAGCCACATTTTAAAAAGTGGGCAAGTGCAACGGGAATTTTCATTTCGGTACATCATTAATTGTGCGTCCCCTACAAGCCGTTCCGTGCTGTTTAAAGTGCGCACGTGTATAGTGCACGCTCCTTCTCCAGCTGAGCTCAGTAGCAGCCACTCCGGGCCATTCAACCTGCACACGTTTGTGGAGGGTGCCCTTTCCATTTCTAGCTGAACATTTCCTCCCATCTGTCTATATGAATATGTGGGTGGAGCTCTGGCAGTCATATGATTATTTAAAAACCAATGTAAATGTGAGCAAAACACCTGCAAACAAGCATTACCTTAATAGGTTTGCTTCACATAATGGTATTTCCGTTTAGATCTCTTAAATCAATCATGTGTCTGCCAGAATTCTGCCCACATATTTACATAGACAACAATGATAAACAGTGGAGCAATGAGGAAATCGGGATCCTTGAGCTGCCCGCTTGATGTGCAGGAATGTCATGTGGGCAGCTCTCTGTGGGGGAAAGAGGAAGAATCCAGAGCATGCACAGACTGGGGGCAGTCTGGGTTCAGATCGCCCACAGTAGTGTTACCATTCTAAATAGGGAATTGGCAGGATCACCAAGTAATTATAACCACACCGTGACTTTTGAGAAAAAAAACAGCACATCTAATCAAACGGAACTATACTCACCTTCAGTCCAGTAATGCAACATCCTGGGCATTTCCATGCGGCGGACTTCCTGGTATGGATCACCAGCTGCTTTCATTGGCCGGGCCGCTATGATGTCACTCCCGCC